CACATATATAGATGAAGTACAATAGCGATTAGAGAGGTTAGACACATTGTAGGTGGTTTAGGAGGTGACTAGTGGTGTGATACTGTGATGTAACGTTTAGTGAGTGGATTGGTGTAGTGGAGAGAAGTTGAGAGAGAATAATGGAATGAGATGCTTAAGGCATGTCATATAGTAGGGAAAAGAAGTTGAGAACATTTAACAACACAATGTAAGATTGAACATATATCCAAGATCAAATCGATAGAATCGTATTTTCAAATTAATATCAATGCGAAATAAAACTGAATAACAATTATCATCAATTGGGGCACCCTTTACGTTGAAAAGAAAAAAGAAAAACTGACAAAGACCCTAATTCCACAGTAAACTAATCCTATATCCGTGTTTTTAAATATAAATAGATAGTTGCAGCCAACCTTATCTGAAATTCAATTTGACACCAATTTCGTAAGTTTCAAAATTAGTGAAAATTTCGGTGAGTATTTCCTTCAGCAACTCCTTTATTCTTTCCTTGCTTTGCAAGTTTAGGAGTATGTCAGGACAAAAGCATGTGTAAGAAATGTGCCAATGTTATATAACCCAAGATGTTAACTTCTTGACTGAAAACTCTTCCACTTTTCAAGCCACATAGTCACTTTATATAATTATCGTTATGAAGCAATTTTAAAAGCCAGAGAAAAGTTACCATCAGTTACTAGAAAACAGAAATTAGAAAACGATGGAAGATTCCGATTCATTAGAATATGATGTGATGCAGCCAAAAGACCCTTTCGGCCGCTCGCAATTATTACTTAACGTGTTAAGCAATATCACTATATGCAGAAGATGTTTTAGAATATGTAAAGAATTATTATCTTCCGCATATTTTAAAAAATCAGTTGTGCATATTTAAGTAGTTAGAGAAGGAATAAATTGCTTAGAGATTTTTTATTTTTTTTAAAGACACCTGATTTAGAGATAATTTGAAGAGATATCAGTTATATAAAGCATTCATGCGTCACTTCAAATCTGTATTAATTTTTTTATCTCCAAATTCATTATTTGGTTTATTTATTTATTTAATGGACTAGTTTTGTGTGAGCTATAATGATTTCATTGGGCAGATGAGGAGGGAAAGTGTTACGAACAAAATAAATAAAAACAGGAAATTGATTTTATTGAGAAAACTTGATCTCAAATGAATTTATTGAGAAAGTTGACCTCTTTTACAGAGTGCTTTTTTTCAAATAATTCTTCTCATTATCTTTATTCAAATACTTCAAGGTATAAATAGATAATACAAGACAATTTTAAAAATAACTATCCACTACCAAATGGTGGTATCTCAGTTGGCGCATGAGAGCTAAGCAGGTGAGGATGAGAGCATGTGTTCGAATATCTCAGTACCACCTTTGGGAGGGGTTTAAAGCCTTAATCCTGGACCTGCCCCGAATCGGATTAGTTGCAAAGCAATCAACCGATTGGAATATTTCCGAAAAAAAAAAAAAAAAACTACCCAGTAGCACTAGATAGACTCCACTAATATCTATAACCTATCATTTAGGAAAGTTGAAATAGAAATAATAACCCACTACTTGAACAACCCAACAATTCTGAAAATAATAAAATAAAAATCCATAACAGAAAGAAATGGTTTTATTTCTAAGTTAAGAAAATCCTAAAATGTCGATAAAATGAGTAAGGACTAATTGGAATGATACATAATAATCTGTCGTTTTATTTATTTCGTTTTTAAAATTCACAATAAGTAGAAATTTTATTCAAAATGAAAATTTTCTGCTCCGTTGTTCATACCTCTTCCATCCAAACATAGTTTAGGAGAAGCTGAAACTTGGGCTGATAAATATGGATTGGATTTGAATAATTTTGGGCCGAAAAACCCAAGAGGACGATGTAGTCGAACATCTATATTAGGCAAAATCCGTTAGCGGAGACAAGTTTGGTTTTTGAGGTCCGTCCAAAGAAATGGTTTTGGTTTTGGTTGTTTCCTTCTTCCAACCCACCGAAGGCGACAGCCATCATGGGAGGCGTTACTTCTTATACATCAATTTAGTTCCTTTTATGTATTTTTTTTCTTTCAAAATTGCTACATTTCCTTAGGCATTAACTTAAAATATTATTTAATTTTAATTTTATAATTTACATGTTTTACCACCGATCAAATCATTATCAAAGCATAAATGAATCACGTCTACTTAAAAAATAAAATAAAATAAAGCTATAAAAAATTCAAAATATGAGACCAGATTCGGAGCAGGATAACTCAGTCTTACACGGATCATTATGTTTCCTTCTAAAATTAGAAAATGGGAGGGATAGAGAGAAAATTATGAAAAAAGAAAAAAATAAATAAATGAAACCATTATTCAGGCTATGGACCCGGACCATGGAAAGTTAAAGCTCAACCCAATAAAAGAAAATGGATCACTCTGGCAAGGGATGAAAAATGAACCCAAAATCTGAGGAGAAACAAAATTGAACCCTATTACGTAATAACAGACAAAACAAACCAACAAACCCGCTTTGACTTTGAACCAAAACGCATATATAAGTAGGGGTGTTCGCGGTCTGGATTGGATCGGTTTTGGAAGTAAAACTCATCCGATCCAATCCTTTCAGTTTGATCATGTAATCATCCATTCGGTTTAGTTTTTTTCAAATCCGATCCAATCCAATTTTTTTCGGTTTGGATTGGATCGGTTTTCGGTTTTTTGAATATCCTAAAATTAGTTTCGTAATTATTGTGCAAATAACATCTTTTATATATATTGACTTTGTAGAAAAAAAAATTGAAATACAAAAATATCAGTAAACAATACTATAGTTGATGAGAGGTGACTAAGTTTTTTTTTGGGTTTAGTTGATGAGTTAATGGGTCTTGATTTTAGAAATTTTTGGGCTATGATTGGAGAAAAGACAAGTAGGTAGAGGATAATTAATATATTGGATCGGTTTGGATTGGATCGGTTTTCATCAACACATCCGAAAACCGATCCAATCCAATTAAAATTTGCGGTTTTCTTTCGGTTTCCGATTTTTCGATTATCGATTTATTCGGTTATCGGTTTTTCGGTTCGATTTTCGCGGTTTGAATCGGTTGATGAACACCCCTATCTATAAGGCTTTAAATTTTGAAAAAGGTCACTATCGTGGTAGAAGCGTGAAGCAGAGAATTCGAGCTCGTAGTGCGACTCGCAGGTGGCTAATGGCTACGGAGGTACGTAGGTGGAAGCTCTGAATTTTAAGCACTCAGAAAAACTAGAGCATAAGCTTATAGTAGAGAACTTATCTCAGCAGTTTCATTCGCCTATTGTAGTCATAAATTCAGGCAAAGTAATTATCTACACCAGAACACATAACCAGTCCCAAAGTTTTTGTTTTAATTTTTGTTTTTTTTGCACAAACTGTAGAAGTTGTTAGTTATTTAGTTACTGCGTTAAGTTGAAGAGATTAGCAATTATGATTTACATTGAAAAAGATTATGATCCAATGAAAATTTTATTCTTGTAATTATTAAATATTTTAATTAGTTAAAAATAAAGTTTTAAATGTTATTTTTTTAAAATTATATATATTTTTATTCTCTAAACAATATATGAATATGTTTAAAACGTAGGATTTACAAATAATTGAGGATAATTTTTTTTAATCAAATATTTTGAAAAAAATTAAAATAATAAATTACTATGAAATCATATAAGTAATATAACCATCATTTGTTTATCTTTTAAGCATTATATAACTTTCGTAATTTAAAAATATAAATTTTATCCTCTTTATGCTTTTGTAAAATAAAAATAAAAATATACCTAGTATATTTCATTAGTGCAAATTTTGAAAAATGTTGATGCGTCCTCTCAAGTTTAAAATTTTCAAATTCATGTCCCTTTTAACTTTCCTTCACATTCATAACTACGAACTCTTTTCTTATTATGCGAATATAAAAGTTGCCCCAAAGCATGGTTAGTCATTCTTATTATAAAAATAATATTTTCTACAAAAAAGTTCTTTGCGTTCTGTCCTACAAATTATTACATAATACATTGGTCACGTTGTTGAGAGTTGATAGTTGTACATTGTTCAATAGGGGTTCAGGAAAAAGAAGATATTAAGAATAAGTTATTTTTATCATTATTTTCACATCTAATCATAAAATTGACGTGTTAAAAATAAAAAATAAAACCAGACGCCATACATCTGATTATATATGTAGGATAATTATAAACAACAATCAACAGAAAAATGTTTATTCTTTTAAAAAATAATTATTTTAGTTAAAATTAATATTTTTTATTTAATATTTAAAGTAAAAAAAAACCTCACATTTTCTCCCTTTCTTCCACCATTATTTCCGTTTCTATTACCATTAAATATAATAATTTTGATTAAAATAATTCAATTTTATATCCTTTAAAAATACAAACATTGATCTCTCAAATAATCATTTGTTTTTCACTGAAATCGTATACGCAAGTTGATACTAATCTGTCTCATATCACTCACTTACTATCCATAGTTTTTTCAAAAACATTAATGATCTGCAAAATACTACGGTCAGTACACCTCTTCTTCCGTACAAAGATCATTCAATTAAACACGAATACGTTTGGAAATACACAAGGTAGGATCATAATCTCTATAAAACCTAGGTCGATAGGCACAAAAATATGGAAATACCTACCAGACAAATACAATCAAATCACCGTTAAACGAGCAAAGAGCATAAAATCAGAAAAGAAATGAAGCAAAACATTTATACCAAAAAAAGAGTGAAGCAAAACACCATAGCTTCACAGTCACCGTCAACAATTAACAGTGTATCAAAAAACACACTCTCAATCACAATCACAAGCAAAACACCATAGCTTCACCGTTAACATGATTCTATCGATGAAATTGACCAGTAAACACAGTCGTGGACACAGTTGACAGCTAGCACTGTACTATATGTTTGTTACTGATTAGTTGTAACGGATGATGAGTAAAGAGTTAAATCGGTTTTACCTTATATTCCAAGCTCGTATAAGCTTCCCGATGAGGAACGCACAGTGAGCATCGAGGCTTGCATACCTTACTTGATCATGGCTAAGAGTCACTTTACCCCAATCGCTCATGCTTATCTCCGTCCTCCGCTCCATTTCATAGCCGAGAACCTTTTCCACGATGTCCTCCACGGAATCCCGTCTTATCTCCTCGCCTACGTGCCTCCTCAGATCAATAGGATCCTTGCACATATGCAACCTATGCTTTGAAGACTCGAGCTTACGCCTATCCGAATGGTTCCAAAATCCAACAAAGGTGTGGTTACGGTTTAAGAGGAAGTTCCGGAGGATCATCGGAACACGGTAGGCGTGACCAAGTTGGAAGATGAGGCACCGGCTACCGATGCAAATCTGCAAAGTATCCACCGGAGGATCTTTCTCGCCGGGAGTCCATTGGACGCCGAGTCCAACAACGAGACGGTTTCTGAAGAGATAGAGGCGGCGAAAAAAGAGCGTGGCGGAGAGCCACCTTCTGACGACGGAAGCTTTGGCCGTAACAGTGACGGTGATTTCGTTCCCGTGAAAGTCGACGGTGTACATGATGTGGTATTCAAAGCGAGTGTGGTCGACGGTTATGCCATTTTTATTTTATTTTTTTGAATGATGTTGGGTGTGGTTGAAGCCTGAAAGGAGAATCAGAGTATAAGAAGCAAAATCTCTGCTGCGTCGATAGCGCCTTTTGGGCTCTGCATTACTTTTGCTGTCATTGCAGATAATGTAAACAAATAATAATAATAATTAAAATTACTCAGCGAGAGCATTTTTTTTCTTTTTATTGATTTAAAATTATATTATTTTTAAATTATTGTATTTATGATGAGAGAAACATAAAATATAATGAAAGAATCTTTTTAATTTAAATATTAAATAAAAAATTTTAAATTTAATTAAAATAACTATATATTTTTTCCTTCTACTTGAAATTCAAGAGAACTCGATGTTGACATGTTATTTAAAGTTTTAATATTTAATAGTTTTTATTCATTAAACATTAATTGTAATAAGTAAAAAAATTGGCAATGAATTTACCCGCAAAGGTAAAGACAAAAATGCAGTTACACAATCTTTCCTCCACTTTGCATTTTGCAGCACTGCTTTGGTGCGAAAAATATTGGTTAGTACGGGGCGTAGATACAATGAACCAATAAGAACGTGCCAAGCCAACTCTTATTGTACTGAAAAAAAATATATTATATTTTACATTTATATATTATCAATAATATATAGAGTAAATAATACCATCGCACCTAATAATCTGTACGACGGTGATACCGAAAGTGTGGCCGCTTGGTGGTGCCTTCTGTGCATGCGCTTTGCGGTTACAGGTGGATTGTGACTCGGTGCAAACGCTTCCATTGTGGATGATATTGCAGCTATGCTTGCAGTTACAAATAGAATATGGAGTACGACGCACACTAACTTTTTATCAGTCCTAGTTACAAATAGAATATTGCAGCTACAAATAAATAACGTTATTAAACAAATATGGATAAATTAACAATAATAATATCAAAAATAAAATATTATGAATGACTTTTCATATCTATTTGATTTCGCATGACCTTTAATATATTTCATAACCACCATATTAATAATGTGTTGAATTGCAATTATTTTCTTAGTTATGTTTAGGGTCTTATACAAGGATACATCTTAGATATGAAAAATGTGTTTTTTTTTTTGAAATTTTGTTAGAGAATAATATAAACCATTAAAAAATCATTCCATCAACACCTTAAGATTTTGGGTTGAAGTGATTATTCACAGATAAAAAAAAATTAGTTTTTTGTGAATTTAGAATATAGTAATATTTTCATATTTTTCAATAACTCATTCTTGTTCTTCCTTTGTTTTTTCTCTACAATTTATTTTATTTTATTTCATATTTCATTCTCTGTTATATTTTTTATTTATTTTATAACACGTTATTAGAATGATCATCTCTATTATATGAAATTAAAGTTACCTACAAACAAAGGAATAATTTTTCCCTGCAAGGTAAGTCTTCTTTAACAATTTCTAATTCATCTTTTTCTACTCATTATCTTAAAGTAGCCGTAGATATAATTCTTCTAATTAATTTAAGGATTTTTTTTCCAAACAATATTAAGGCAAATACTATCAAGTATACAATTCATGGAATTCATCCTTATCTACTATGTCTTAAATTAGAGTCTACCTTCTTAAAAGTGGTTAATTTCCTTAAATATATTCTTAATATTCTTTATTTTTAATTTAAATTATTTTGAATTAATTATTTATATCTTCTTTCTAATTTTAAATATTTTTTATGTTTAAATGTATAGTTATTAGATTTTACTTGAATCAACTATACAAGGCTCTTTATAATTTAAAACTTTTTTTTAAAAAAAATATTTGTATATTTTATCTAAATTTAAAAATGTTCATTAAATGTACGGGATACTTATTAGTTTTATTTACAAAATGATTTTGTATGTGATATATCATGGTAAGGCTTAATTTTATTTTTTTATTTTTTTATAAAAAATCAGTAGACAGTTAGTTGTCTTTAAAATAGGCTTTTAAATTTATAAGATAAAAGGTTTCATACTGTTGGAACTACGACAAGTGCACCGATCGTACAAGTAATATAATAATAAAGTTGGATATCGTTCCCACGAGCATTATACTGAAGCACTAATTCACTATTGCAACTTAAGTTGGACAATCGAAATTGTAATTGAGACAGGATTTGAATTTTGAAATTTAAAATATTAAAATTAATTACTCGCAAGAATTTAAAAGCAAGAAATCAACGCCAAGAATTTAAAGATTTGAAATATTAACTAATTTAAAAGAACGTAGCTAGGGTTTCAACTTCCTTCAATCTCTTTATTACGTTTGAATTCCTTCTTTACGTTAATCGTCCTTAATATCAATCTAATCAATTCTTTCTTATGTAATTAGCGCTCAATCCCTTGTTACCCTAAACCTTTACAATCTTGCAAGAACCCTAGTTCTCCGGTTATTCCCCAAGAAGGTAAGCATTAAGTTCAAGAATCATAAATATTACGCAAACCCTATGTTTATCCCTAGAATTATAAAGTTTACGATGAAATTATCAAATATGGATCACACACCAACATTCTTATTGTCATGCATTTACCTAAGAACAATATACAAGATTCAAGCTCATATAAAACATTAAAAACAGATAATTTCATTCATGATAAAAAGGAAAATTAATATAACGAATTGTTCAAAGCATAATAAAGATCTTGAATTCCATCTAACCCTAACTACTAAAAGAACTAGCCGGACATAGCAATATCAAGAACGAAAGAAAATAATAAAGCTTCCCTAAACTCCATAGATGATTGGTGAATCTTCAATATCCCCAGTGCAGACTTGATGTTGATCTGTCTCCGCCGCTCACAAACATGAACTGATGAATTTCTCCGCGTTCCCTCTGCCTCCGAGTACCAGGAACTCTTCTTGAATGTGAAAAACTCTTCTTAATTCTGATCCTAATTGCCTTTTTAAGGGTAAAGAATTCGTGCCCTAAGTGGATTCTTCAAGTGGGCTTAAGTTGGGTCTTTCGGGGCACTTATGCCTGCTCATTCGCGCTTAAGCTTCCTAATTTACGAATGCAGAATTAACGTGCGCGCTTAAGCGCGCTCTTCGAGCTCGAACTTCTTTCTTGCAGCGCTCTTAAGCCCAAAATTGGGGGCTTAAGCGCCTAGAGGCAGGGGCTATTTGCTGATTTTGAATAATTAGGAGGCTTAAGCTTTGAAATGGGAGCTTAAGCCTCCTCTTCAACAACTTGATAATCTTAATTTTCTTTAGATAGATCATCAAATCTTCTAGGTTTGATCTCCATCTATCCAATCTTGATTTTTGCTTCCATTTATCTTCAAATCCCTTCAAAATAGCAAATATATTTTATTTAATTCATAATTCATAAAATTCATGATTTTATGTTAAAACCCTAGCTTTTGACTTGTTCTTAATAATTTATATTAATTTAATCTATAAAAACAAGATAAACTAGAGGTTTATCACATACACGAGGTAAAAGGCCTGCATTTGCATCTGTCATTTATGATTTTTTTTTTAGAGTAAAACTTTGTCCATGCATTTTATAGTTGCAATAAAAATATAATCAAAACTAAAAGCACATGAAAATTTTGCATAGAAAAAATATCGGAATTTAGAGTTTACCGTCAGGGTGTGTTTGATATAAGGTTTTATTTTAGATTCCTAGAAAACTGAAAGTGAGAATCTTACTTACTCATATTTAGTACATGAATTGAGAAGATTTTCCTGAGAAAATCAAATTCTCAGAATTTGAAATTACGAAGCAGAATCTCATTCTAAAATACCATCAAATATGTGATATTCCTGAAATCTCACCTGATGGATAAATATATCAGATTTTTCGAGACAAAAATACCCTTCTTCTTCTGTGTGACAAAACCTGATTTGCCACCCCTACTTGGGACGAGGACACCATGGGAGGTGACATTGCAACTGAAGCTGCGACGGATCAACAATATACATTTGGTTCATGGTTTTGCGCCTTCTAATACAACTAGTGGAACTAATACTACTGGTGCCAAATGCAGCAACCATTTTTGTCAAATCTTAATATAGTGAGAGAAATAATGAACACACCTATATGCAGGATTTAATAACTATCTACTTATATATATCAATATTAGAATAACAAAAAAAAATTATATCTAATAAAATATAAAAAATTTAAACAATCATTAATAAATAATCACGATATATTTAAATTAAATAAAATTAAGCTTAGCTAAATTTAAATATACATTAAAATTGAAAACAAATAACATTACTTACCTTTTAGTTGCACCTCGGAAAACAAAAATTACCAACCTGTTGAATCAAAAGCCTTTTTGCCAAACATTTTGTTTGCTTCCGTTGCCCAAATTTCCAGTAGCGATTTAAAGAAATAGATGTGATGAAAGTGATTTGAAGAAATTAAGAAAGAGAGAGCTTTCAGCGAAGAGGAATGATTCGATAGAAAGTAAAAAAAAAGAGAGAGGTAAATTTTTTTATGAATTTTGTGGACTTCATTGGTATTCCTAAAATAGGGGTTATTGGGTAATTTTTAAATGGTTTTTTGCGTTTTGCTCCTTTTGGTGTCGTTTGCGTTTTATTGCTTCAGCTTTGTGTATTGAATATATATATAAAACTGATCTTCCTTTAACCATTGTGTGATCTACCCGATTTATATCTCTCTCTCTTCGTCTTTCTCTCTCGTTCAAAAGGCACTCTGAAACCCTATCATAGGGTTTGCTCATTTCATCAAGAAATCACCCCTTCGGTTTGGCTAATCTTGTGATTACCTGTGTGCTTCTTCTTCTCCTTGTGTGCACCTCTGTTTTCTCGTTCTCTTTTGCAGGATTGATTGAAGATCAAGATCAGGAGCGGCTGGGTTGTTCGCTTGGGACTTGGTGACTTCAATCCAAGATCATAGAAGCTCACTGGTTCAGCTGGTGCATGGGTATCTGATACTTTGTGTGATATTGCATGCTACTGTGTGTTTTATT